TAAGGCATAGATATCTAACTTTGTGGACTTGTCCACGTCTTTCATATTATGGTTTTCATGCATAACTTAAGCATAAATATTACCATGAAATCCTACCACTTAAGCATAGAAAATATCTTACAATAAAACTTGAAGAAATCTTGGTTGAAAAATGGATTGAGAATGCTAGACTTTTATCCTTTCTTCTTCACGTCAATTCCTTTCCAAAAACAAGTGATATCCTGATTTTTTTTTTCTTGCAAAGTAACTAATTGGCAGTAACATGTCTTATTTAAATGTAAAAGGAGTAAAGGTGACTCTTAAACCATTGCCTACACGTGTGTTGCATGAATGCATTTCATAATCTTAACTTAACACCTCATGCTTAAGTTTAACACCTCAAACTTGCCTTAGCCACCTCCTACTTGCTTATTACTACAAAGATAACATTTATTCTCGGTCAAGTGGGAAAAAATCTTTAGTAACTAGGTGTAAAATTTGATGTTTAATCCCAAACCCCTAATTAACTAATTTGGTAAACTTTTAATAAATCAACCAATGAAAATTTAGCAACCATTAATAATTTTGGCCATATTAAATTTTGAAAAGTTTAATTGCTATCCTAAAAATTAAATGAGCAAATTAAACGTGCATAAAATTTCGGAGTATCACATTTATAGGCTTAAAATAGGCCAAAAATGCACACTCGATACATCCAGGGCACCAAAACTTTGTATTGTGAAATTTGGTGGCCCCTTTTGAGTGAAAATCTGCACTGCACTTCTTTTAGTATTTTTATCATAACTTTCTCCTCTGATATTCGATTGAAGCGATTCAAATTAGGGGATTGTTTGAGCCCCATTTTTCTCAAAAAAATACATTTTGAATAGTGTAATGATAGAGAATGTGTGGTTAAAAATAAGAAAAAATTTTGGGTTTGCATGTAATATTATTTTATTGAAAAATGTGTGGTTGAAATGATATCAAATCACTGTTAAAAAATATATTTTTAAGATAACTTAAAAGGCTACAACTTTATTTGAAATTGCTTTTTTCAATTCGAACGTTTACTAAGTCAAAAATAGGTTTCAATGTTGAGCATGTTGAGAACGATGAGTCATCTGCGAGAGAACAAGTCGTCATCGGAATGGGAAAGAAGATCTCGGACCAAAGGCTAAGACCGTCTTACCATGTATCAATGGCATAAAGAGTGCTTTGCAAAGCTTTATATTTAAATACTCGTATAGATGATGTTCGTGCTTTGATCGAAAATCATTTTTCATTAAATTAAGTAAGCACTATCTGTTTTATGTCAAGCAAGATGTGAAGTAACTCCTGATATAACAGTAAATGCAAGACGTGCAACATACTTGTGTTGTTGAAAATTAATTTGTGTCCATATTTTGATCATATTTCAATCGTTTTTGACCTCTAATTGAATCCAATTGGCTCATAGCATTCTCAAATCTTCATTGTGATATTCGACACAACTTTTAAGTATTTACACGTTAATCCATAATCTTTGGATCTTGTCCTTTTTTGTCGATTTTTCGCTTATTTTTTTCAATTTCACTTCCACTTATTGAGTTCCATCTAATAACACATTATAAAATAAATTAGGTTATAATTTCATTAAAAGAACTATGAAATATCCATATTTTAGAGCTCAAATAAGTGTATAAAATTTACTTATCAGTGACCAATAAAATTGTTAATTTGTGACCTGTAAACATATGAGATTATAACTAAATTTGTAATTGTGACTTTCAATTAGTGCCACGGTGGATTGGGTTAGGTGAGATACATGGTGGGATTAATAGTGTCTGCGATCAATAAATTGGATATTTTGTGACGAACAAATAATGTGATTGATAACTTGTGACCAATAAATAACATGTGACCTAAACATTTGAATCGTAATTTATAAAATTTGTGATTTGTGATTGATAAATATATTGCGTCCTAAAAATTTTTCAAATTTGTAATCGATAAATAAATTGTAATCTATAAATTTTTGGATTTCTGACGCTGAAATAATTTGTGATTTATGAAATTTTTGATTCGTGATTAAAAAATAATTTATAACCAATTAATTCGATAACTTGTGATCAAATAATATAAAATTGTAACATTAATATATTTAATTAATTAAATATATATTTAATTAATAAAATATATTTTTAACTATTTATTCCATAAATAAATTTTAATAATATCTGATTTTTAAAATTTTAAACCTTATTTCTTAGTTTTTAAATGGACAATATTTAATCTCTTAGATATGAAATTTTCTCTTATTTTAAAACTCTTTTTTCATAAACATATTTTCAACTACACATTCTTGTAAGAAAATATTTTGCATGTAAATTTAATTTCTTTTTCCTACTTTTAACAATAGACTATCCAAAAATTCACTATTTTAAACTTATTTTTCAATTTAACAGTAGCCAAACAGGGACTTGAATGTTCTTGAAACTTATCGCTAAATTATCTGGACTGACCGATCCATCAGTCCATTGTTACGCACCTGTCATCAATTTTAGGCTATCATTTCAGAATACACACAGGAGAGAGATCGACGGAGATAAAAATGGAAGCTCTACTCTGCAGAAAACTGGGCGACCCAACTGTACCAATAGACGACTCAGTAAACTCTCCATTAACTCTCTCAAAACCTCACCCGATTCCGCAACTCAACTCACCGACTGCAGTGAGAGTCCGAATCAAAGCCACGAGCTTGAATTTCGCCAATTACCTTCAAATCCTCGGCAAGTACCAAGAAAAATCACCCTTACCCTTCATACCCGGATCCGATTACTCGGGCACCGTCGAGTCGGTGGGATCAAATGTCACCAAGTTCAAAATCGGTGACGCCGTTTGCTCTGTTGCCAGCCTTGGATCATTCGCCCAATTCATTGTTGCTGATGAAACTGAATTGTATGTTTTCTTAATATGTTTTGTATTTCACGCTTACTTATCTGATTAGCTTTCTTGTACTAGCTTGCACAGAAATGGGAAAAACAAGACAGTTGAAAACGTTATTCTTTATCTATAAATAAACTAAGCTGCACACTTTGACCCAGACAAGTGATTAGAGTTTAAATTATTTGTAAATAACTTCTTTGACATAATTATTGAGCTTATTCTTTTCACAGTATTTCCTGTCCTCTATTTTGAAGAAGAACAAAGCAATTTAGTTAATTATAAGTTGAATTCCACAATGTAGTTAATTATAAGTTGAATTCCACAACAACCCTCATTTACGTTAGGTTTGGTTTTTCATTTCCAAAAATTGGTTTGATGAGAGAAGGAATTGATTCTATAATGAGCTTACTTGGATTTTCGTTTAATTTGAATTCTTTCTGTGATTGAAGAATTCGAGTACCGGAAGGATGTGATATGCTTGCTGTTGGTGCACTTCCAGTCGCATATGGAACATCACATGTTGCCCTCCTTCATAGAGCACAATTGCGCGCCGGTCAGGTAGCACAAACCTCCTGTTCTCTTGTCCATGATAATATTGTATGTTGTTTCATTTTATGCTATCTCCGTATGTAAGCACGTGTTTATGTTGAAATTGTATGAAATTATAGGTCTTGCTGGTTCTTGGAGCTGCTGGTGGTGTTGGAGTTTCTGCTGTACAAATCGGAAAGATCAGTGGTGCCATTGTTATTGCTGTTGCTAGGTACCTATTTTACTGGATTTTTGCTAAGTTTGTAGACATTATTAGTCGATGAGTAGAAAACCTTTTGTATGTAGAAGATGAATTTGTTTTACCTCTCAGTGCTTGGAGCAACATAACTTAGATTTGGCTGTCTTTATAATGAAAGGGGAGAGGAAAAGGTGAAATATTTGAAGTCCATGGGTGTTGATCATGTTGTCGACTCAAGCACAGGAAATATCATTGACAGTATCAAGGGATTTCTGCAAGCAAGAAGGCTTAAAGGAGTTGATGTTTTATATGATCCTGTTGGAGGCAAGCTAACAAAAGAAAGCATGAAGTTGTTAAAATGGGGAGCACATATTTTAATTATAGGTTTTGCTAGTGGAGAAATACCTGTTGTCCCAGCAAATATTGCCCTTGTGAAGGTATGCCACTAACTGATTGCATTTATTGTGTCAAGGATTCTTGCTTAGATTTGTTTTTACCTCGGAAAATGAAATTGTCTTACCTTTTTGTCCTTTCCTATGTCGATATATTATACAATCTGCCATGACTTTTATTTTTTTCTTCTTTCCCTGGTGCTTGTTAGATAAAGAATTAAAGTGTAAGATGTCATGCTTTGGAAATGCCATTGTTGTCGGTGATTTGTGTATGAGGATGATAGCTTTTTCTTTTGTTTTGCATTGAGTGTTGAAGCCATAGATAGGTTTACAGCTCCTCGTATCATCTTTTGCATAAGTGAAGCTAGCATATTTAGATACTCGTTTGACATCTGAGGTCCAAAGACTTCAAGTTACTATCATTCAACGAGCTATTCAGTCAGTAATCATCTTGAATAAACTGAGCTAGCACTCAGATCACTGGCTTTAGATAAGTTATTGTCAGTAACTGCAGTTGCAAATTGACCCCTAGGATTGACCTAGTGGTATAGTTTCACTTACAACTCATAAGTATATGCTGATTCAAATATCATCTGAAGTGATTTAGGGTGGGGAAGGAGAGGCTGCTCAAGGAAAAAATTAAATCAATCAATAAAGTCGTCAATAAGAATTGATGTTGAGATTTTGTAATATGAATAATGACTTCTTACGTGTTACTAGAAAGCTTGCTCCCCTAAAATTGAACAGTATTCAAATCTTCCAGCAAAACTCTTATCCAACCTTCTCTATCATCTGTTTAAATTTTAACATCCAAGGAAGTAGAATTTTTCCTTTCACCAGCACCTCTGTTAATTTTTGTCCATCCCAATGATGGATATTTTCAGAAATCTATCCTGGGTTATATTAGAGCGGACGTTTTAAGAGGAAAAGAATATCTCATTCTTTTGACCGTGAACTGTTGAGGTCTCATAAATTATTGATACGATGGAATTTCCCCCTCCAAAGTTCTCTTCTGTTTCTCTCCTTAATGGCAATTTTAATAGAGGCCCCTCCTCCCCACTTATCACTAACGTAATCCGGATGTGTTCGCTGACGAGGGCCAAAGCTCAGCTTTGGTCCACCACCGGGGGGTTCTTCCGTATCTGGAGTCTCCTTCTTCCTTCCGTGTCCGCCCTCGCGGGAACTTCAAAGAAAATCTCCTCTCTTTCGGTTAGGCCCAGCTCATCCTTAAAGAATAGAGCGAGCAGCCCCCCGTAGAATATATCCCCTAGGGACCCAAATTCCCCCGTATGGAGCCACCTTCTTCATGGATCTATATTTCATCATTTTGTGCCTATGTTTATCTGCTTTATGGATTGGCCCGAATTTGTACAAGCATGTGTTATCTTCTTTTGGCCTGCACTGTACGTTCAATCTAAGTGCTCATTAATTTTGCAGAACTGGACAATTCATGGTCTCTACTGGGGAAGCTATAAAATACATCAACCAGCTGTACTTGAAGATTCTTTGAAGGAGCTCCTAGCCTGGTTGGCGAGGGGTTTAATTACCATAAACATTTCTCATACTTTCAGCCTCTCAGAGGTAAGAAACAACCTTATCATCTTTTGCTTGAGTAAAGTTCTTTGCCTATCTAAAACGAATTCGGATTTTCTAACTGCGTTGCTCCTGTCATTTTTTAAGATAAAAAAATCTATTTTGATTAAGATAAAGAAACATAAAACCGGGCAATACATGTTCTGAAAATCCTAAATTTACCTCATTGGATACTGACTCGATACCTCTTACGATTTTCTCTCTAATGAAATTTTGGAAAAGCATGCTGATATTTCGTTATTTCCGTTGAATATTGAAGTAGTCCTGTGATAAATGAGTTGAGAATGTTAGTGCTGGACTCTTTATTGGATGACAAAAGCAATTCTGATACTGAGTACTGATAAGACATTTGCGAATTTAGCTAGGAAAATAGTTTCTTGAAAATCATTCCAGTTACAACTTCGAAAAGAGAAAAGAAACCATCAGGTTAAACAAATAATGGATGCTATTTGCAGTTCAAGGCGCTACTCGATTCCTGATTTGAGCTCTCTCAACCGTTCATCCTGATTGCTTGGATTAGTTAATGTTAAAAATCGATCGCCTGCTGATATCTACTGTTTGTGGTTGCAGGCAAATCTTGCTTTTGCTGCCTTGAAGGATAGAAAAGCAATCGGAAAGGTGATGATTGCTTTCGATGACCACAAAGCTGAAAGATCTAAGCTTTGATTGCCATTCAAGGAACAGAGAAACTTTTCCCAAATATTCAATAATTCTACAGAGAAACTTTTCCCAGATATTCAATAATATCACAGAGAAACTTTTCCCAAATATTCAACAATTCTATGTATCCAAAGGTGCCGTTTGTTAATGATACAAATTTTCTTGTTCCAATTTTAATAGCTGGAAGATTTCTGTTCTATGAGATTGGGAAAATTTGACGCACAGTTCGTCCCTTTCTTTTTCCAGTTGTTAAAATGTACATCAACTCGATACTAAGGATGGGTATTCAAATCGGGATTTTTAAATACTTTTATCGATTAAAAATGTTTAAGAATACTTAAATAAGACTGTGTAAAGATTTTGGGGGTTAATATAGACTTTTTAAAAGTCACTTTGGTATTCAAAATATCAATGAATTTACAAAATCCTTTACATACTAATTTTTAAATAGAGAGCACAAGTACAAAAATTCATAAGAAGTCTCTTATTCACTCCTAAGATTTTGAAAGGTTTTACAAAAAATATCTTTCCATTTGTTTTTTTTTTCCTTTCATTTTATGAATCTTAGAGAGATATATGAATAATATTAAATATTTTTCTCTCTTTTAATCGTGCGTTATAAGGACTCTTGACGATTTTCATTCAAAAATCTGTTAGTTGATAAAAGAAATAAAAAATCAGCATTTGACCATATTTGGTCAATTTTGAAAAGGAGTTATGATTTTTTAACATTTAATTAATTAAAAAAAGAAACGTTGCATTAGAGGTTCCAACCTTTTTAAAAATGTGCATCTTGATCTCAAATCTTCAATAAATGTGCACCAAAAGGACCTATAACTCTTTTCATCCAAAAATTTGTTCAATCGAACGAAAATATTCATCTTCCTCAATCCAGCCAACCGCAAAAGGTATTTCGCTTATAAGGATTAGACTTCAAGAGAATCCTTACTAGAAACAGAAACTTGCATAACAAAATCGTTATGGAAATCGACCAATAACCATGCATGAAATTTGGGGACAGTGAGAAAATCTACTACGATTCTTGAGCATGATTTGAGGAACGGGGAATTTGGGATTGGAAACGTAGTGTCGGTGTGATTTCCACTTTATTTTATAGAGAAGAAAATGGTCCATACATTCTGAATAACGAAAACACGACTTCCCTGAAACGAACACTGCTAAGCAATTTCACCATCAATAGCTGTAGCCATCAATTAAATTTTATTTACAGTCAATTTCAGTGAGAACAGAAATAAGCAAAACTGCACATGCACCCGACAAATACTGAGTTAAACTTGACTACCATTGCAGCAATTTATCATAGTACACAAAAAATGGGACCACCAAATTCTAATTCTATAACATTAAATCAAAATAAGAGGTCGTAACGCGTTGACAGTATCCCTTTTTTACTCGCCATGTTTCCATGTAGCGACATGGGGTCGGAGAAAGGAAGAAGAGAGATCGAGTTACCTTTGCTTATGGCATATCAAGACTCCAATGAGGCGAACTTAATGAAATTCAACACTCGGTATCAAAATTTGTCAAGTCCAGTCGATAAATTTCTCGAGCTGATCTTGATCCTCCCTGGTCTGCAGCCCTACGCAACACAGAAGATTAGCTTAAATATTTTACACATATAAACTTTTAATGTCACTATCTATGACAACTTTATTATAAGAAAAATATTGCTTAAATAATTTTCACATATAAAACTTTTCATGTCACTTTCTATGACAACTTTAGTATACGAAAAATAGGAAGGAAACTGATATTGGACCACATTTTACTTATAAAATACACAATGAAATCAGTAAGCATTTCAGAAACACAGTGCAGAAATGAGGACCACCCTACAAACCCAATCTGCAGAAGCTAATCATTTGAAAATAAACTAATTAATTTCCCGAATAGGAGGCTCTTCATCCATACTACATGCATAAAGAAATAAGAACAAACAGAAACAACTATGACATCGTAAAGCATATAAAATCATACCTGTAGCTTCCACATATCACTTGAAAGTACGCGATTTCCAGGTCCAAATGGCAATCTTGCATGTTCAATTTAATAAAAATGAGAGAGCAAGAAACAGATGGTGTTTTATGATACATTAATAGACAAAACAGTGAAAGAAGTGCTGAAAATTGTACAGTACCAGGTATTTGAATTATCATAATCATCAGATTATTACCAAAACTGTAAACTGTGTAGGGATACATATGATATACTTGGAACCACATATTAAACTTTCTGATAGAATCTTTAAAACATTTAGCTCGAGCAGCAGTTCACAGTTTTACGCACTCGAATAAGCTATAATTTTGAAGTAAAATCAACAGAAACACTCCCAAGTAAAACTCTGTTTCTATAAGTAATACTGAAAAGGTGGCAAAACTACGCGTCAAAGGAATAATTTATAAAAGAATCCAAGAAACAACTCAAAAAATGTAAAACGTCGAGTATAAACTCAAATGAGGAGCTTCCAACTGATTTTGATTTAGAAAACTATTGAAGAAAAAAAACCGCAACAAAATTTCAAGCTATTTCTTCATAAGCAAACATTCAACAAACAAGGGGAGTTCACCTCTTACAGTATGACCATGATGTCGAGCTTTCGTATGATCAACAGCAACAAGAATGATTTTGAGCACGTCTAATCAATAGACTATGATTTATGGAAATATGGAAAAGGAAACATGTTAGACTTTTCTCTCTAATAACCATAGAAGTTTAGTTCGGTTTATCCATAGGAAATTAACAACTACTTGAACCAGAAGGTCACGAAGAGATACTAGAGATGAGATCTTAGGTTATTTACCGAGATTTAGCAACATTTTCTTAAAAACGTTAAAGTGAGAACGAACACAGAAGAAAAACAGCCAGCTGTATGTCATCAAAATTCACCGTTCAACATTCAATAAAAGCATGTATGGTATAAAAGATTAGATGGTATAAATATACAATGGACAAGATTTTATTTTCTTTTTTTACATATATTGTTCACTACTGTACAATCAATCTTGCCAAACGAGCCATAAGTGAATAATAAAGGCATCTTGCCAGAAGGGGATCATCTTTTGGATACAAGACTCAGCCCAAAGGAAAACAAAATGAAGGCAACAGCAAGAGGAGCTCCCTTCAGTCCAAGCACAGAGAAAGAGGGACATGAAACTATCTCCCGCATCATTCATTCAATCACAGTAGCATAAAACATCCTGTAATCTACTTAGTGGCTAAACGAATGAGTCGGCAGCTAGTTCAACCCCCAGTATCGTCCATGAATGGGCTGACAGAAGCTCCTTTGAACCATTTCTCAGTGCAGAAACATTTCAAAATATTGATCATGTTATCCAAAGGATCAAGAAGACTTACAAGAGAGTGATAGAGGAAAACAATTGAAATTTCAATCCTTCAACTTAAAAGTCTATCAACTACATATGGACAACCAAAATCACGACATATTTTATGCTAATAACCTGACAAATTAAGAAACCCCAATATTCACAAAACTATCTGGATTTTGATTATTTTCAGACAATAACTTCCACTGGAATTTATTAAGTAAACCAAAAGAGTATATAAATTATTCGTAAGGGAAAGCAGACCTTAGGTTCCATTGCCTATATTTTATCAATAAAAGGATATATGTAAATGAAATTGAAAATTGATATCAATTCTTAAAGATTAAAATGAAAAAAAATAAAATAAAATATTCTTGAACTGATGCAACAAACCCTAAAATCAAGGGATGATGTTACTGAGAAGGAAAATCAAAACCCATAATCCAGATATCCACAATTATGTTAATCTATATCAAAAATTAAATTATCAAATGAAGTTATAGTAAAGCAAATTAAAATATATAAATATGATAGGCAAATGAAAGAAATTATTTAACTGCTCATACTTGTGATGGAGAAGCACAGAAAAGATGAAACCCTAAATCGCCAATGACGTGGGTTTCATTGTAGTTCTTTGAACAAGAAATGATAGAGAAAACACGGATAAGATAGCGACGGCTAAAATAAAATTAATCTAATTATTTTAATAATAATAGTACTGAGAGATAAATTTGTAGGGTCAGGCATGAAATAAGGAAGACCAAGAAATAGTAATAACCTGAGGAAGATGGTAAGTCACTTTCTTCATGAGAAACGACGATGGGAAAGCGACTTCAAGATCTCTTCAAAATCCTATATACACAAATATATACACACCGGGAAAGATTGAGTTGTTCTGTTTACATTATCTACAACTAAAAGGTTTGAAAAGGGCAAAAACAAGAAAATATTCATTATTCTGATACGCAGCGTGTGGAAGAAAGAGAGAGACCATGAAATGAACGCATCGGCAGGAGATTGCGAGAGCACGCAGATGGGTGTTTTAAGGGGGTGGAACGGCATACCCCACTGACGCTGCACTATTTGTGGGCAGAGCAGTGGCACCTCTACTGTGGCAATTGTTGGAATTTCTCTCTAAAAGGCTTATTCATTTTCAGACAACTAATTAAATCAAACACGTGCATTAGTGGCCAAAATTTTTAAGGATTATACTGTGTACATCTTCGATGTATACAATCTTTTACACTCAATGTGTGAGGGGTGTAATGCTGTGTACACAAAAAATATACACACAGCATAATTCAATTTTTAAATAGACATCGTTTTTTCTAGTGAAAATAGAGGGGGAGGAAGTGCCCCTTTTTTAAGGATTGGGCTATTATGACAGGAGCCGGCACCCCGACAACAAATAGGCGCCCTGTCATAGGGGTCACGGCCCTTGTTTGTTTAGAATTATCCTTTTCTCTATTATGGAAACAACAGAGTTTGTACCATTGGTGTTAGCCCCTATTTGGTATTGACTAGGCTTTTATTATTTTATGTCTAAGAGTTTTCTTTGAATAAATAATATCACTAAAATAGATTGATTTTTTAGAGTTTATTTTCTTTTAAAAATCGAATTAGGGAGTATTGTTTCATTATAAGAGTACTAGTTTGGTAATTTTATCTTTTTTAATCATACTTAATTGCGAGATCTTCTCCAATTCTTGATCTTCAATTGGTAAAAACTCAAGTGTAGACCTACTATGCAAGAACTACATTTGTTCAAAAATTTTATGATAAAAAACTGAAAAAAAAATATAAAGGAAAAACTAATTAAACTGATAACAAGTCTGGTAGGCCCCATCGGACCACCTTGAATCCAACAATCATGTTCTCATAATATGATAACTCTCGAAGGGGTCTGGTCTCTATTAAAATTATAATTCATTTTTCTTTCTCTTCTAATCAATCACACATTTTTCAACAAAATAATATTACACGTAATTCCAAAATTTTTCTTCTTTTTAATTATGCATTCTTTTAAAAAAAACTATTTCAAAAATTAAAATTTCAAATAATTGGGGGGGGGGGGAACCAGTACTTAAACTTATCAAAAACTTGTTTGAGCTTTTTACCCCCTATTCTTCTCGCTTTATAATTCAGCCCATGTTTGAGCACCCTTTTTTAAAAATTTATTTACAACCACAGATTATCTCAATAAAAATAATTTTATACTTAAACCCAAAATCTTTTTTTCCCATTTTTTAACCACACTTCTTAAAAAAAAAATCATTATTAATCATTATACAAAATTTATTTTTACAAGAAAGTTGGGCCGGGGGGTGGGGGGGGAGGTGCTCAAACAAACCCCAATACTGAATCTTGAAGTTTCACATTAAAAAAAATAATAAAAAAATCAACTTTATTAAGAGGAATAATTTAAAAGAACATCAAAGCATCATTTTAGCGATATAAAAAATAACATCTTGTGAAAAATAAATATATTTGTCTAAAATTTCACTATAATACTCGAATTGAAACTATCTAAAAATAAACGTCATAATACTAATATTAATATATATGTTTATAATACTAATATTAATATATATGTTTTACTACAAGCTTAAACTAATAAATAAATACAGGTCCAACTATAAAATGTAAACTTGCAGATTCATTATTAAGATAGGAAAAATAAAATCATAAATATATATATTATTCTCTTAAAGAGCCAATAAAAGTCGACTAGCAAATAAAATTGTTTTGATATAAGTTGATTGAATAAATAATATATTTTGTCTAAAATAATTAATTAATTAAATTTTTTTTTGAAATGTATGAATAGTTTTGTTTGATTTCATGCGATTTTAACTATCGATACTTAAATCAAACAGTTTTCAAACGATTTGATTTGTTTTTAAATTGTTAAAACCAAATCACATAGACCTAAATCAACTATTTAAAATCGTTCTTAGAGTAATTTTTTAAATTAAAGAGTATTTTCAAGAAACTCTCTAAGAACATGTTTAGGAAGTGTTATAAGAGTATCTCCAAAAGACTTTTTAAATACAAAATGCTATTTAAAGAGTCAATGCTTAAAATAAGCTCCAAAAAACTCTTTGATTTAATTTTTTAAAGTAGAGAGTGGACCCACTCTCTATTCTTAATGTATAATGATTGTATTTAATACATTACAAATTTCAATACTCTACAATCTTAAATTTTCAAATTACATTTGAATTGATTGGTCACTAATATATAAAAAATTATATTTAAATAAAATGTGGAGAAATTATTAAATATTCATTGGAAAAAACAAAATAAAGAATCAAAATAAAGAACTTGTTGAAGTGTATCAAAAAAATTACTCTCTAAATTTAAATATGTTCTCTATTATGCATAAGAGGTTCTTTATAAATAGAGAGTTTTTTTGAGATGCTCTAAGTAGCTTAAATTATGGATAAATAAAAATAAGTGGGGAGATAAATATATAACACTTGTGAATTCCTCAAAATTTAAAAATAAAAGGAGGCATAATTGATTATAAATAGTTTATAGACTTGAGACCATAAATGAGCTAAATGTAAGATGTCCTATGTTTTTTCGGATCTTAAATTATGTTTCGAGAGACTACTCTAACTAAGTGAAGATATGAACGAGACTTCATCATTTTCTTTATTTCACTCATTTGATGAAACGACAAGAAGTCAAGTAGCCCCTTTTAATTTAACTTTTTAAACTCTTATATTTGAAAAGTCAAACTCACTCGATATATGTATTATATAATTATTGTATTTAATAAGATGCACGTTTCAATCTGTGCCCCTTTTTGACAACTATTAAACTCTTTTTCTTTACACATTTATTTTCAATTACACCTTTACACAAGAAAATATTGTGCACGTAAATTCAAAAAATTTTCTATTTTTTAAATCACATATTTTCCTTAAAAATCATTATTCAATACATTATTTTTCCCAAATAACGATAGTCAAACAATAGGCTGTAATTAGCTACTGAAGTTTTAAAATATATCTATAGTACTTAAAAAATAAAGAAAAATAATAATAAGTAATTGTTTGAAGTAAAATAAAATCAAATAAAAATGTTTGTTGGAATAAGTAAAAAAAAAAATTCTTTAAATTTAAATATGATCTCTATTATATAAAAGACGCTTTTTAGGAGAAACTCTTATTCAATATTAAATAGCTTAGCTTGGTTTTAGGAGAATGCCGAGTCCCGACCATCCATTTCTTGTACAATTTCAGAGATAATTTAATGAATGGTCACTGAACTTTATTATAGATTACTACTTGCTCATCTATCTTTAAAAAGTTGCACGTTGTTCACTCAACTTTGTTATAGGTTATTATTTATCAATCGAAATTTAAAATGTTACTCATTGCTCACCTAAATTTGAATAAAGTTACTCGTTGCTCACTAAACTTTTTACAACATTTAACACTCATAAAAGTGATATGAATGATTGATGGGTAACTTCGTACAAATTTAGGTGAGTAATAAGTAACATTTTAAATTTAGGTGAGCAAGTAGTTACCTATAGTAAAATTCAGTGAGCAAAGAGTAACATTTTATAATTCTAGTTACCTATAGTAAAGTTTAGTGAGCAAAGAGTAACATTTTATAATTCGATGAGCAAATAGTAATCTATAGTGAAGTTCAGTGACCATTGATTATATTGCGCTTGTTTGATGCTCATTTTTTTCCCTTTTTTTCTTCTTTATCTCATTCTTTTACAGTGTATTTGCAGAGAAAACCTGCCACCCATTTAAAACCTTGTCAGACATGTTAAAAGTATTCAGACTGTCGTTGCAATTGTTGGACAAAACTGCCCTCAGCTGGTCCTAGACATTTGCTTCATTGCCCTCCAAATTATTAACCCGGTTGTACATCTCTCTCATCATCACTTGCGACTTTCCCATTTGGCTCTCCCTCCGGTAGATTATTTTTCACAATCGACCATTTCGATTCGTAGTTTCCCGTCATATTTCTACAATCCATTTCTGATATCGCCTCCCTCCACCTCCTCTCCACCAAGCTTGGCGTTGACCTCAATCTTTGTCCGAGCGTCAATTATTCTCCGGCCACCGCAGCAATGAGGTGAACACCTTGGAAATGGCGAACGACGGATTTCATGGGTACTATTATCCCGATCACATGGTAAGCAATTTCATCCCTCATTTTCCTTCGTTCACATAATTGTTCGGTCCGATTTCCTCTGCCCGTGTGTCGAAGTGTGCCCTCTTCCAACATTTTGTTCAAATTGACCATGAATTTGCTTCCGGCCTTTGAAGTTATTTCTGAATTTTTAATTTTTGTAATGCCCGTTTCCAACAGTAGTTTGCTTGTTTATCTAGAATTTGTGTTAGGGTTGCATAATTAATTCTAGCCATATTATTGATCAAATTGTTCAGTATATTTTCATGTTTTTTGTTCTGAGGTTAGAGAATTTGTTGTTTGGTGTGCATTATCATGGTAAAAAAAATGGCAATAAGCTGCCACCACTTCGGTTTCAGATACAAAGAGCACATA